ATGATGGTTTCTTGTTGGTGTTTTGATTCGACTTTAAACACTTTTTGATGAAATTTTGTGGATAACCATTCTTTTTGAAGACCGTTTGTAGGTACTTTTCTTCCATTCTTTTCAACTCTGGAGTGCTACAATGTGTTTGAACTCTTTTAAACAATGTCTGCACACAGTTTCGTTTGTGAGTAACTGGATTATTGCTAGTATAGTTGAGTATTTGATCTGTGTGCGTTGATTTTCTATAAACTTGTGTCTCTAAATCTCCTGTGTTGGTTCTCCTGATTAAGACATCTAAAAATGGGATTTTGTTATCTAATTCTTCTTCTCTTGTGAATTTGATGTCTTCAAATATGTTGTTTATTAATTTATGAGTATATTCTAAATCACTTCTCTTAATTATTACAAATGTATCATCAACGTAACGTATCCAGATTTTCGGTTTAATTATAGGTAGAGCTATTAATTCTAATCTTTGCATAACGGCTTCAGCTATTAATCCTGATATGGGCGATCCCATTGGTGTTCCTTTTATTTGTTCATATATTTGAGTATTGAACTGGAAGTATGTTGTAAGGCATAATTTTATGAGTTCTATCCAAGTTGATAATTGCGTTTTTGTGTTTTCATCACTATAGAGTAATTGTTGCATAGTTTCTGTTGCTAGTTTTGGACTAATTGAAGTATATAATGCTGTGACATCAAAGGACACCATTATTTCATTGTCTTCTACTTGAATGTTTTTGATTTTCTCTAAAAATTAAAATTGACGAATTGACAGAATGATCGCATGATTCTGTTAGGTAATTTAATTTCCTGAAAAGTTCTTTAGATAGATTGGATTGTTTTGCGCTACAGGTCAGGTAGAACTGTGTCAAACTACCTACCATCAAATAATCCTTTCTTTGAAGATCCTGGACGACAAGAAGAAATCATGCATTAAACTCCGTTGTAAATTCTTTAGATTATATAAACATCTAGACAAAGCAGTAAGAAGATATAATGTGTCTGAATCGTGTAACGCAATTGCACAACACATTTCGAACAATCTGATCATACACGAACTTGCAATATGTTCGACTAGTTCATAGTGGTATTGTGGTGAGAGCAGGCTGCTAGCCAAAGTTTGTAGATAGTAATTGACGTCAATGTTCATCTCCCCAATATTGGTGGTGAGAAAATGAGAACAAAGGCTTTGCGTAGGCAGATACAGTTAGCATATGGATGATCTGACACAGCCACAAAGAGATGCAAGGTTAACTTTCTGTGAGAAACAACCAATCAAAAGACTGTATTTTCTACTAACAATAATGTACATCAAAATCTATAAATATGTGTTGATTTTCCTTAATAAACGATCTGTTGCCTGGCCCTTGTCTTCTGTTGTTACAGTATTAGTGCTTACTAGGTGATTCATCATCACGGTGTTATTGGGTCCAATGCTAACGTAGCAGTATAACTGTTCCTAAAATCCCTCCAAATTGATGCATACTTGAATAATTCAACTGATTTTTTAATTACTAACCTTTTCCCCTGACCTTTGTATCATGGTCCCGACATTCCTATATCTTCTTTGGAATTATTACTTATTCGATTTCATCACGAGCTGACATCGGTTAGAGAATCATTGGAAAAAGTCAGGTGTGAGAACAGATACTTTCTAGAGTCTACATTGGTTAATGATTGCGCTATATCATGAATTCGCAGAGGTTGGAATTCATGGGCTGGCCACTGGATTGGGTACCAGTGGCTTAGCGGTCTACGAGCTCGCTCGCCTTGTAATCGGAATATCCTAGGTTAGAAACCCTGTAGGTGCCCACTTTGAAGAGTCCCAAACTAGGACGAAATAGCTGTCCAGTAGTCCTACCTGGTTTTCCAATATTCCTCTAACCGATGTCAGTTCACGATGAAATCCTGAAACCAGTCAAATCCTTGCAGATCAACACTTGTCTTTTTTTAATTGATCTCTTCTTCTAACGCTCTACTCTGCTGTTATGTCATTTTGTTGATTTAGGATAGCAGTTTAGCTTGAGTGAAGTCAAGGTCACGCCGTGGAGTGACTGCTTCATCTCCAAGTGTCTGTGGGAAATGTGTTTTGTTCTGTGTGACGACTGCAAACAGAGTTTGGATTCCACACTGTTAGGAATATTCTTATTGATTCTCAGGTATTTTAACGACTGAGTCTGGTCAACTAATATGGCTGTACATTACATGTTTTGTGCCTGAAAAACTTGTGGACTGTATAGCTGCCGGAGGGCATTGCTCACGTCGTTTTGTATTTTTAAAATAAGTTATTACTTTTCAATAGTACTATTAGATTCTGTCATGCTCAGTCGTGTTTCCACATTGTTGAAATATATATAATTTTTGATTGTATGTAACTCGCGGGAATTCGGCAAACTATGCAATAGAACTCATTGATTGGTTTTCTGCGTTTAGAACAATATCCTTGGGTTCTGGTCATTACAGTTAAATGTTCTTAGGTAGTACGCAGAAAGCTCTGTCTAACCTAGGTTTCATTCTTGTTAGTACTCATTAGTAAGTTTTCTTTACAATGTTGAACAAAAGCTGTATCTCTTTAGAGATTTGAACCCACATCATTCAGTGCTCCAGTCATAAAGGTTACATTATTGGTGTAACCTGTAGACAGAATTCGACTCCATCGATGAAGAGGTGTTGTGGCGTTTCGGAATAGGAATGCCCAGAAAGTATATCTCACTAACCGAATCATTCTACTCGAACACAAACAGCCAGGTGAGTATCTATAGAGAGTTGTCTCATCTAGAGTGATAACAGTCACTGCCAACTGCTTCGAGTTTTGTGTAATTTCATTATACATGTACTAGTGGAATTAACTCTAACTGACTTTAGCGACTTAAGGATTGATTTTTTCCCCAAGGAACAGTCTTGTTGACTCTGATTATGCGTTAATATTATCCTCCTTGATTAAGATGCTGATAAAATGCAGAGTCTTCTGAACACCGTTAGTGGAAATCTTCATATATATTCAGTATGCGATTCGCTCCTATCGAATGTGAAATAATGCTACAGGACTGAATTGCACCAATTATATTATTATTATATTATTGTTCCCTTGGGTTCCTAGTGGAACATAGGGCTTCAACTGCAAGTTTCCAATTGCTGTAATTTTCACTTGCATCCATGTTAGTCCATACTGTTTCAACTCCTCTTCACACGATCTCCTCCATGTCACCCTTGGACGTCTCACTCGCCGCTTCCCTTTCGGGTTCCACTCGAGCGATGGCCTGACGCGCGATGTCATCCAGCGGCCTCCTCAGCGAGTGTCCAATCCATCTCCACTTTCTCCTGCATATATGTTAGGCGATTGGTTCTTGTTTTGTTTGTTCCCATAGTTTCTGAATTGCCCCAATCCCTAGCTTAAAGACAGAGAGAGAGAGTGAAGTAGAAGAGTGTGTTGACCACCACTTCACTTCTTATTTGGGAAGTTGCATCAGCCCTAATCGACTGATTAATGATGAAATCTCAGCACGAATACAAAAGGTTCTTATAACATTTGACAAGCATACGTCAGTTGTAGCCTAGACGGCTGCCGTGATATCTGGCTATCTATCAAAGGATGTGTGTACTGCGCAGCAGTTTACTCTGTCCTCCCTTACGCCACTGTAATTGAAAGATATGAAAAGGGTAGCTGCATTTGACCACAAATATTTGTGCTCTATCCCCCGTGTTAAGTGGTATAATATCGTGAGTAGTATTGACGTTAGGTTTGGTGGTGAAGTTACATCGATTGAGATGGCTGAGACACGTGTTGTGCACGCTGAGGCACCACCTTCTCAGTCGAGTTATGTTGTCTGACGTATGATTAGTTTGGAAAAATGTTAGTGGATGGCTAAACCAAAACATGGCGTCAATCCATGAAGTCTATGGCTGTTGGTTTTAGCCTTCCAAAACCTCAGGATGGTCGGGGATGGGTGCCTTGCGCTGCGGGTTGGCCACCCCTCCGCACACCTCTCGAAATGCTCCCATATGACCAGGCGTCTTACATAGCCTCTCCTGAGGAAGTCCTACTCACTGCCTTCACGTGGCGGGTGTTTTTCACCAAAGTGAGAGGGCGAAAGCGGATGCCCGGCGCTCTTCACCGGGTTGACTGTCCATTGGATGACAGTCTAGGGGAGATGGCTAAACCCTGATTCCAAACCTCCAACGACTGGCGTATGAAGATCACTGGAGCTCACCGGCAGACGTATGGACAAATGGCTTGTTGGATGTCCTGGATGTCTGGCCCCATTCAAAAAGGCGTATGAAGCGAACTCCAGTCACCGGCTGCCAATGGATAGTGGACTCCCTACTCCACTCCTACTGCCTCGTAGGTCACATTTGGTTGTGTAAAGGCTAGAGCTGCACTCTCAAACAAAAGGCCGAGGGATTCTGGGGACATCACTCGTACCGAATTCCCATGAAACTTCATGAACTCTCTTACAAAACCCTGTCGCAAAACCTTGCATCAGATCGCCGCGCCTGGGCAGCGATGATTCGAGATGTTCATGAAGCCGGCTCATCCTCCCGTACGAGGTAGCCGTAGTAAAGTAAAGTAAGTTGGTTTTAGCCACACAGGAAGATGCACAACCCTTGGTTGGAGTCTTCGGGTTGTTAGAAGTCAACAGCCCGAGACTATTGGCAGTGACACTGCTCAAAATCGTCTCCAACCTATGCTGAATTTCAGTCAGTCACGATTAATAGGAATGTCGATTTTCGGGTTAGAACTCATATATTATGAGGCCCTACCTACATTTCAAAACACCAGTGGATCCCTTCTATATGGAAATGAACAGGTGATATGAAATCAAAAAAAATATTGACATTTTACTACTCTTTATTCTCTAATTAATTATCTGTGTTCATATTAATCAAACAGGAATAATAAAACAAACAAGTGAGGACTGATAACATCCTAAATCTATCCTTTTCTATCTGTTCGTTTTTATTTCTGCCTCCTAATTATTATTGATTATTAATTCGTCAACTGATCAGTTCAAACAATCTTCATCACTTTCATTGGTCATTTGAGATTGTTTCAATTCGATAACCTTGAGTAGTTCTTCTTCCATTTTTGTTGGATGCATAAATAAATGTTTCGGTGTTGAATCGATTGTAACTGATTGTGAACAAAAAGCCTAAAAATGAAATTAGTTTAACAAAAATAAGTAAAAGCAATATTCAAGAATAATCGAATTTGGGCTGGTTGTTTTATGCATATTTCATGATGAGATATACTCACCTTTGATTGATATAAGTAACTAGTTGGTCAGAATCATTTATATCATGATGCACTGGTGTTCACCAGCAAGACTGAGGTGACACGAGCACTAGAAGGGTGTCTAACTAGCGTTCAAAGTCACACTTCTCAGTGGTAAGCTGACAGACGAATCAATTCTTGTATTTAAAGCAATTAGTTCCCTTTTTGAATTTCGACAACACAATACGAAGCCGTAGTTTATCTGAAACGCGTAATGTATTGACGCAACACATTTCGGACATTCTGATCACACACGTACTTGTCATACACAGTTTTTATATAATACAAGAAGGCATGAATAATTACAATACAGGTCAGATTGTACTAATAACCCACCGAGAAGATGGGTCAGTAAAACGATCTGTCTACAGAAAGTCCACATGAATGGGATAGTACCTAAATTATCATAGTTTCTGTCCACTACAGTATAAGAAGGCGTTGGTTAAATGTCTGTTCAAGCGCATTCACCGTATATGTACTGCCGATACAATTGAAGAAGAAGGACAACACCTCATTGAAATATGGTTAGATAACAATTACCCACTGAGATTTATTAGACGTTACGGAAGTGTCAAACACAGAGCTTTACCAATCCAATCAGCTCCCAAAAAGGATGTTTACATATTCTTGCCGTTCAGAGGTGATCAACAAAGTCTAGTCACTAGACAATGACTCAAGGCCGCAATTAATAGCACCTATTATGCAGCTAAACTTATCTTCATATACAAAACGAGAACTATGTTGTCCTGTAAACCCTCACATTATCCAAACGATAGTGTTACATCCCACTGTGTTTATCAATTTACATGTTTGTGGAGACACGTACATAGGGAGGTACCATAGGTCTCTGCAGGTTAGAGCTACAGAACACATTCCAAAGTGGCTGCAAGAACAAATGAAATCGCCAGACACAATTGAACCCGGAAATAGATGTCCAACATCATCTGTAGCGAAGCATATTATAGAGGTTGATTTCAACAATGCCTTTAAGCCGATATATAAAACAAGGTTGTGCCACATACTTAAATTCATTGAAGCCTTAGCCATAAAAAGACTTAAACCTGTCTTATGTGTCCAAAAATTATTTGTTATCACCTTAAACCTGCCTTGGTAATCCAATTTAGAACCAAAGACCAATTTACTTCATAATATTTTCAACCCCTTATTTACCTTGTTTTTCTCTTTTTATCTTTCTTACCTTTTGCGTCTCCCCACCCATTATTTGTGACCTTGACCTGTATACAATCTGACCTGCATTGTAATTATTCATTCCTTCTTGTATTATATAAAAACTGTGTATTACAAGTACGTGTGTGATCAGAATGTCCTGAATGTGTTGCGCCAATACATTACACGTTTCAGATAAACTACGTCTTCTTATTGTGTTGTCGCAATTCTTGTATCTATTGTAAACTCGCATATCAATTAGTAGTGGAAACTATTATACATTTATGCTTGTTTTGTTGATTGTCGTTTATGACATTATATAGATCTCATATCATTGACATCAAATTCACAAGAGAAGAGGAATCCGAGAACAAAATCCCATTTTTTGGACGTCTTAGTCAAGCGAACAACCAACCACAGGGGAATTAGAAACTCAAGTTTATAGAAAGTCAACTCACACAAACAAATACTCAATGACAACTACAGCAACAATCCAATAACACACAATAGAAGTTGTATACAAACGCTATTGAAGAGGGCCAGCCAGGACTCATAGCAGCATTCGCACCTTAAGGAAAATTGAAGAAAGATATCTCATGGACGTCTTCCAAAAGAATGGATATCCACGGAATTTCATCAAGAGATATATACCCCCAAGCCAACCTATCAAACCAAAAGCCTCCAAAGAAACTTCTAAAAAAATCGCCCTACCATATATAAAGGACATCTCAGAAATCGTTGCAAGACTTTTCAAATCTTTAGGAATTGACGTCGTACACAAACCAACAAAATCACTTCACTCAGTTCCATGTCAACCGAAAGACTCAACAACGAAAGAAGATGAAAACAACATCATCTACAAAATAGATTGTAACAACTGCGAAAAACACTACATTGGCCAAAGTGGACACTCCTCACCTTCGTCTTCGTATCCACGAATATAAGCTAGCCGTCAAAAGACATGATATCCACTCCCTCATATCACCTAACTACATACAGACAACCACGGACATCAATTTGACTGGGACAACCAACGTTCAAATATTAGACAAAGGAAACACCAAGAATGCTAGAGAATTTTTAGAAGCCTGGCTGGTATTCCAGTGAATCATCAATCAATAGACACATCGAGATAGACAAAATTTACCAGCCGATAAGAAAGAAACCTCACACACACAAAGGGTCAAAGTACAAGTCAAAGAAACAATCAGTTCCAATACAAGCAACCTAGAAGGTGTGAAAACACACAAAGACAACCAATCACGTCCAAGGTCACCAGGAGAGATAATTAATAAACTCGTGAGGAAATCCAAAAGTTCACTTCATCGAATGAAGTATGCGCTGAAGATGTCGCCTAGTAGAGCGATGAAAGCTTCGCAAATTAACTATCCAGCTCAGAGAACACAACCACTTAAAAAAAATAGATCATATATTCTGGTGTGAATATTTGCGGTTTCTACACAAGAAAGCTGGTGAATTTTCACCTCGAACTGTGTGCAGTTTGCTTATCCCGAATTCGATTCTATGTGTTACCGGCTGGACCATGTAGATAGTCAGAATTTGGATGGTTTATAGATTGAACTGACATTCTGGACTGAGTCAGTTCAGATAAATCACTGGTTAGACCATTTGCAAACTAGTGAGACGGTTTTCTGCCATCTAGACAAGCTTCGATCCGCCTGACAAGTACTATTGGTTGGTGTGACTGGTTCCTAACTAACCATATTATTCAACCAGTTATTTCAACTGGTATTTATTGCTGTCAAACAGATCAAATATTACGATTCGAACTATTTTGATTCCCGAATAGGAATCATAAACTGTTTTCACTGCAAACTGTGTTATTTGCAAATGACAAGACTCAATCCCTATACACATTTCATCGTTGATGGCGTCGGTGGCACAGAGGTTAGGCCTCTAGCCGACCATGCACATGGTCCGCGATTCGATCTGCTGCCGACGCACACCTGATATCTATGGTCGGCCTGCAAAATTTGGGCTAGCGATATCATATACTGAAAATCCCATACTTGTACCAAAAATACGGTGTGGAGTCAAGCTATGATCAAAAATAAAAAATGTCTATATTTATGAAGCCCCAAAAGAATGCTCCTGCATTCTATAAAGACTTGGCTTTACACACCTTTAACTCCAAATGAAAAAGATTTATACGTCAACTTACTGAGATATAAGTGTCGTGTTATGTGAAACTGTTAGAAAATATTAAGGAATAATACTTGAGTCATTAAATGACTGCTATTCAGCGTGCAATCATTCTTTATACCACAAATTTCTGTTTAGTACAGATTTTTGGCATTCTTTCTCCTATCTTTATGTGTACTTATTGGAGTGCAGTAACTTCAACTGCTTGCCTCACAACTGCGTGAAATTCTATATTGAAAATTCCTTTTAAATACGTGTTTCATAAGAGGTGAGTATAATAAATCTGTGATCTGAGTGATTTTTTTTTATGGGTATTTTTTCGTTTCCTTTTCGTTCCCAGTGGAAATCATTGTGGTTAATAGAAATAAAGTTCAGGCATGTTAATTTATTGTAATTAATACTCCCTTAGACTCCGCCTGGAACATAAGGCTTCAACAACACATCTCCACTTTGCTCTATTTTCTGCTATCCTCTTCAGCTGCTCCCACGATTAATCCTTTATCTCTCATCTCTTCTTCACACGATCTCCTACAAATCACCGTCGCATTGATGACCCACTCGCGGCTTGCCATTTCGAATCCACTTGAGTGATGGCCTGGAGGACGATTTCGTTCATTGGCTTCTTCAACAGATGCCCAATCCACCTCCATTTTCTTCTGCATATTTGTTGAGCGATCACTTCTTGGTTGGTTTGTTCTCAGACAGAGTTTCTTGCTGCTAATTCTTTCTGACCACTTGATCTTTAGTATGGAGCCAGGTAAGTGGGCAGCTGTGAATAAAAGTCTGCAGTCTACTTCTCATGATGCGTCAAGTTTCTGATCGTTCTTTATAGTGAGTGCAGGAGATTTCTAAACTGATTGCGGAGTGATGAAGGTTTGTCGTGCCTTTGTGATTATTGTTTCGCCATCCTCACCCGAGGCATACTAGTTAGTGGGTAATCACCAGCCTTATCGTAATAGTAAGGATAAATACCTCACTATTACGATAAGGTTGGTGATTATCCACTAACTAGTATGCCACTATCTCCCGTGTGAAGTGATATTGTAACAACAGAAGACAAGGGCCAGGCAACAGATCGTTTATTACGAAAAATCAACACGTATTTATAGATTTTTATGTACATTATTGTAGGTCAATGTTAGTAGAAAATACAGTCTGTTGATTGGTTGTTTATCACACAAGGTTAACCTTGCATCGCTTGTGGCTATGTCAGTTCATCTATATGTTAACTGTATCCGCCTGTCCACCTTGACCTTTGACCTCAATTACTGTCAACCAATTTGGCCAGCAGACATCTCTCACCACAACATGACTAATATTTGATACATAAACATTGACCTCAATTACTGTCCACCACTTGGCTAGTAGACAGCTCTCACCACACTCGTCCCCCCGTCAAATAGTTTGGACTGAAGTCGGCTCGGTCTTCTCGGTTCTTGGGGCTTTGCTCTGTTGTCTTGCTGTCTGGAATCTCGGCGCTTGCGGATGTCCACTTGTTTAACGGTGTTTACCATTGCGATTGTGTCTGCGTAACCCCATCTCAACGTGACCATATATGGTCCTTCCCACTTTGGAAACTGTTTGCCTGACCCTGTCGCAAATTCGTAGGTATTTCGCCTCACACTTCCATATGCTGCTTTCTCCCGACCTCCCAGCAGCGTCCCAAGTAGCAGCCTCATCGCTGACAGATCTTGAACGCTACTCAACTGCGAAGAAGCCTCGAAGTCCTGCGCGAAGATCCATATGTCTCCATCAAAAGCTGCAGGGCATAGGCTTTCCATTTGTCGGTAGGCAGCGACACCAAATGTAACAACAGAAGACAAGGGCCAGGCAACAGGTCGTTTATTACGAAAAATCAACACGTATTTATAGATTTTTATGTACATTATTGTAGGTCAATGTTAGTAGAAAATACAGTCTGTTGATTGGTTGTTTATCACACAAGGTTAACCTTGCATCGCTTGTGGCTATGTCAGTTCATCTATATGTTAACTGTATCCGCCTGTCCACCTTGACCTTTGACCTCAATTACTGTCAACCAATTTGGCCAGCAGACATCTCTCACCACAACATGACTAATATTTGATACATAAACATTGACCTCAATTACTGTCCACCACTTGGCTAGTAGACAGCTCTCACCACAATATAATAGGGTGAGCAATACTGAGTTAGTTAGGCGTCGAGTATCTAGGTAAGGAGGGGAAATCAGTCGGCGAGACTGTGAAATTACATCGACTGAGATGGTTAGAACAAGTGTTACGTATGCCTAGTCATCGCCTTCCTCGACCGACGGGCAATGTTAGCTGATATAGGGTCAGGCTGGAAAAGAGATAGCTAGTGGGGATCAAACCAAAACATGGTACCAGTCAATGAAATCTGCAACAATTAGTCTAGGCCACGTAGGAATGTGTAGACTTCCTGGTTGGGGTCCTCGGGACGGTAAAAACCAATGGTTGGAAATAATTGGTGACGTGGCTCAAAATCGTTCTCAGTGGCTGGCGCAGATGCATCCACTCCTTGTGACTTATGATTTCCAATCAAACTGTTTTGTTCTTCGTTATTACTATACCTTTGTCTCACACCTCTGTTTACTGTCTCTCTCTAATATGCATTTCTCCTACTTTCTTCTCTTGTTTTGTGTGCTACGTGGAGTGTGGCGACTTGAACTGCCGCACATATGTGTAAAGTTCTATATCAAAAACAGACAGACAGTAAGGATAAATTATTCAGGTGTTCATATAATCTAGCCATCGTGAATGTACCAGTAGAATGTGTATACTTGTAGGAGTAGAGGGAAATACAACTACTGTCTCATAGTGATTAGATAACAGAGTGTTTGGTTTCATGATATATTATACAACTAAGATTAAAGTACACAATTATAACACAGCATGATATTGATAATAACGATAGAACTAACAGTTTAAATGGGAGGGATAACTATCCCAGGTTGGGCCAAAAGGCCATGAGAGTGAGAGAGATTGAGCCAACTTTTTTCTGAACACATAGGTTGGGTTGAAATCATTTTTATGGCAACTGTTTCAGCTATGCTTAGTGGTCAAAAGCGCCCAGAACTAGAGAACTGAGGTGCAACCTTGTATGGAATTGTAAAAGCGGTATTTTTAACCAATTTTATGCTTGACATCCACTGAGGGGGGCTAATATGTAACTCCTGACTGACTTTACAACTCCTCTACCTAACCACGTTGAACAATGCTCCAGAAGGCGACGGTGGGCTTGCCGAGTTGTTCTACCTATGTAACTGTCTCGACAAGAACACTTAGACTTATAAATGCACGCTGAAATGGCCAGACTCAGTAGCTTATCCTTCACTTGCTTGGAATTATCAAACGAGTGGAGAATTTTAAACACAGTGTTCCGGTAAAGAATGTTTTAGTTATTATTTTTTGAAGTTTCAATGACAGCAATTCAGTTGCTGCGTCTCGTCTAAATGATAAAGTTATGTATATACGTTTCTTCTGCACAGTTTGCAGACTCTTATTTCTATCTCTTCTCCTCACTGAGACTTTAAAAAATTTTTCAGGGTATCCGTTCTCGTATAAAAGTTTTCTATTTTCCTTATTTCATCGTCTAGAGTGACGGTTGTGCAGATTTTACATCAAGGTACTGGTAAGATTTCGTTTGTATGCAAGAGGGAAGAACGACTCGGAATGGGTGTAGTGTCCAACCCATGACTTCTTCCGGAAAAATACCTCTCTTAATGCTGCCATCTTGAAAGCAGAACATCACAACATGATGAGGTGTTGTCTTTCTGCTTTTCATATGTGAACTCAATTCGTGGGTGAGGCATACTGAACCTCGGCATCGATTTTATTATTATGCAAGATAAAAGTATCGTCCATATATCTACAGTAGAACGAGAGTTCGTTGATTACGTTCTTGAGTGGACGATTTTCTAATTTCGCCATAAACATATCGTCTGAGAGAGGACCCAGAGGGCACTCTATTGCTACGCCCTTCACTTGACGGTAAAATTTGTTGTTAAACTGAAACTGCACATTCATTGTGCAACGGAGTAGTAGTTCCTGTAGTGTTTAAGGTGATACACCTACGTCCATATCATTTTCTATAAGAGATTCACAGATGAAGTGGATGGTCTCTAATAAAGAGACATTAATGAACAGGGAGAACAAACAATTAAATTTGTAAATGCGCACTGAAATAGTCGGACTCAGTAGCTTATCCTTCACCTGCTTGGAATTATCCAACGGGTTGTGAATCTTAAACACATAGTGTTGTGGCAAGCAGTAATTCAATGGCTGTCACCTTTCTTCTGCATCGTTTTCAGGCATTTCTCTCCACCTGCTTTCATCATGGAGACTTGAATAAATAAACACTACTCAGAAGCATTATCTGTGCGTCGGTGGCACAGAGGTTATGACGCTCGCCGACCATGCACATGGTCCGGGGGTCGATCCCCGGCCGACACACTCCTTTACCTCGCGAAGCCAGTCACAAGACTGGTAAAGAGAGAAAGTTGGGCATGAGGCTAGCAACCCTATCCTGTAAAAATAACCACCACTGCTACAGAAACTTCAAGCCTCTAGTTTGAAGCCCTATGTTCCACTGGGAACGTAAAGGAATAGAAGAAAAACTCAGAAGCTTTATACGCAAATTTACAAATACCCACCGTTACATTCAGCTTGTCAATATCTGTTTTATGATAAGCTGTAGATTCTGTCCCATGAATTGAAATATTACTTGGTATAACAACTTCGGTACGATGGTTATGATGTTGATGGTGGTGGTGATGGTGAGGATGATGTTTGACTTCTCTTTCAATAGGACCATTTTTTCGTACATCTTCATTAGATTCTAATGATGATTTCAATGAACTCTCGCCGTCTAAATTTTGTTTCGCCTTATTCAACTGTCTACCAATACGTGATGCATCAATTGCTGATAACTGTTTCTGACGAGCTTGTTTTAAATATTCGTAGTTTGATGTTCTTGCCAGATAATCATTATAACTGTTCAAGGCGTATTCATGATTTCGGATAATTTTTCTGATCTTGAATGAGAAAACAGGAGCAGAAAGAGAGAGCGATAGAGAAAGCAAGAACTCAGATGTTCGAAAGCAAAATAAAGTTGGTTAGTACACGTTAATTAAAAAAATAAATGCACCATTTAAGAAGTGAGAAGGGTAAAGATAAGTTATCATTGAAATAGCCGATATTACTTTGTGAAAACAAACAAAAGTATCACTAGGTGTCATTCAGCGTTTGTTTTAATCCTCGGTTGAGATTACTGAAGCTCATATTATGGTGTTGAATGATGAAATCCAGGAGGTAGGTACATTCAGGTGACGAGTAGCAAACTGGACGAAACCCATATCTTGGATTCTACGGTTAGCCCTCACCTTGTAAATAACATTAGATCGTCTAAACGCCACATATGTTTTGAAACCACTTGTGTATATGACTGTGAGTGTGTCTGTGTGTTAGGTGGTTGAAAGCAATCGGAAGGAAACCTCGGACCAGCTTTCCTTGCAGGTTGACACACGTTAACAAAATATATGTGTCGTAGAAGGAACTAATATCCCCCACTCCCCAGAAGGTTATAACCTGCGTCATCCAGTGCTACAGTAAAAAGACGTTACCTCTGAGCTATTCGAGCTTATAACTGACTTCCTGTAAATGATACTCTTACTTGTCTGTCATGGCAACCTGCTTAAATTATTAATAGGTCAGGTAGGTCGGTGGCACAGTGGTTAGGACTCTCGCCGACCATGCCCATGGTCCGGGGTTCAATCCCCTGCCGGCGCACACCCGATATCTATGGTCGGCCTGAATTTGGGCTACCGATATCCATGCTGAAAATTCCACACTTGTACTGAAAATACGGTGTGGAATCAAGCTGTAAATCAAAATATAAAAAAAATAAAAATAAAAATAAAGTAATCTTTTTATGAAAATGCACCATTTTTACTTCATTTCATAATGTGTTAGTCATCCAAATACGTCCATGAATCGCAGTGTCTAGACTCACGCGGTTTTTTCAAATAAGTTTCAACCAACTGCTACGCATTTTTAGAAGGAAATACAGAACAACTACAATTGAGCATTGTAGCATGTTTTGCGTGAAACAATAGTGTTTCAAAGTGTGTATTCTCGTTTGTTGTATTACTTAAAAATCTTGTATAAAGATTCAACACTTTGTAATAAAACACGCTGAGAAATCTGTACTGCGTATAAACATTTTTATTAGGAATAAAGCTCTTGTTATTATAAGTTAATTGGTGGATGGTGACTAGCAGTGGAATCCAGGATGCGCATTTCGTCCTATTCGTGACTCGTCCTCCAGCTGGATGTACCTGCATTTCCCAGTGAGTGATGATGTTCCCAGCGAGGCCCGAGCCCAGTGCCCATAGTTTCAGACGCCAAAGCGTTATCCACTAGACCACTTGGGACACAAGAGCCACCCCTTATACAAAGGGTCATATTAATTATTTAATTCAATTTTAGATTTTCCCGTCGATTGTTCGGACCGAGCACTCACTGTGGAATGCAGGTAAATCCAGATGACCAGTTCCAAGTAGGACGAAATGCGCATCCTGGTGGATTCCACTGCTAGTCACCATCTACCAGTTAACTTCTAATTACACTCTAAGATATCCTCCAAGCATCTGCACAAGAAGCTGACATGTCAACCTGAGACCAACCACTGTTGTTATTATACTTTATAGTATTATGACTAGGAATTAAGCTGTGTCATGTTATTAGTCCTTAGTAATGTCGCTAACTCAATTTTGTCAATTGAGTTTAACATTTGGTCATCAGGGTAGGTGGATCGTCATCACAGAGTAATTTAAGTGATATAAGGCAGCTCGAGTCAATCGGCAGGAAGCTCAACATTGATTTCTAACAGTCAACGATAAGGACTAAGTCCTTGAAACTGTTTACTGCCAAGTGATCTATCATTGTATGCGTGTATATGTGCGTTATTGTGTTTTGAATGAATAATTTCACGGTTACAATAGTTTTTTCATTCCTTTGCATTCTCAGTGGAACATAGGGCTTCAAACTAGAGGCTTGAGGTTTCGGTAGCAGCGTCTATTTTAATGGGATGGGGTTACTATCCTCATGCTCACACTCCCCTCCTCGTCAGGCTAAGGGAGGTAAAGGAGTGTGTCGGACGGGGATCAAACCCCGTACCACCTGCCTGGTAGACGAGCATTCTACCGCTGTGCCACCGACGCACCTAATGGGATTTCACTTAAAATGAGCAAATTGGATGGAAGCTGAACAATTTGTTATTTCGAGTTCTAAAGTCGTCACTAGTAAGAAAGTATGATCCTGTAAAAGATAAAACATAATACTATGAAACTTCGAAATGAATGAATTAACATTCAGCTGGTGTGTTGACATCTGAAAGTCTTTGACAATTACCGGTATAGTCCCACCATCATCCAGTGCCCCATGCTCTAATTTTTCTGAATCCAGTCGGCCGTAAAACTCCTCTTTAGAACTTCAAGGAGTTCATATGAAAACTAGTCATTATCAAGGGGAAAAACTGTTAGCTTTGAGAAAGTCTAGTTGCTTTCAAGACAGATTCTGGCATACTTTGATTGGACACTAGTAACTAGTGTGATATGTCTAGTCCTCTCTTTGGTGCAGACTGAATTCTATCAGTCAGTCAGGTTTGCAATGTGGCCACCATCCTAGGTGGCTCGCCATCATGGTGCAGATTGATTTGATGATATTAAGTGGTTGGAGGCAATCGGCCACAGGAAGCCTCTGACCTAGGTTTCGTGCTAGTCGGCACTCGTCAGCAAGGCGTATCTGCAACACTGAAGGAACTCATGTCCCTTCTGAGATCCGAAATTGCGTCACCCAGTGCTGCAGTCAGTCAGAGATGTTACCACTGAGCCAGCTATTCGGGCTTGCGATTGATCTCCTGTAGGACTGCAATGGATAATTTGATTAGACACTAGTAACTAGTAACGCAGGTTGAAATCTCAGAAGGGACATGAGTTCCTTCAAGGTTGCAGATACGTCTTGCCGACTGACTGGTGAGTGCCAACTAGCACGAAACCTAGGTAAGGCGAGGCTTCCTTCCGACTACCTCAAACCATCTGATATCATCAGATTCTGTCACAGTCTGAATTCAGTTGGAAAATTATTGATCATAGTTCAATCTCATATTTGACACTGTCTTGAAACTCGCTATACGGAAACCTCCGAGACAAATAAAATAAGACCGACAGACGGTAAAATTAAAGTATATACGATAACAGCATAAATAATTCCCTAATTCACTCTTCATTTAATCAGTTAGAACTCGGTAACTCAGAACAGCTTTTCTTATATATATCAGGGATTGTAAAACACACTCTTATTGTATGGAGGTTGACAAGACTGCTCAGTTAGTCAAGCTGACATTAGAATCAAAACCAGTTAAATATTCACTAAAATGCACGAAGTACTGCATACTCACTTCATCCTTGTTTAAGACTTTTCAGCATTGAGGGCACTTGACACCAACAGGGGGTCGAACCCAAGATCTTAAAGTTACAAATCCACCTCTTTAACCATTCAGTCATTGAACTGGAATTCACTAACTAATGAATTGTATCTTCTTTCAGTTCACAATATGGCTATACTGCTATCCAATACCACCGATAAGTATCTGCCTCAATTCTTATTAGAATTCTAAGATATTTATGTAACGAAAGCGGTCTACAACCCAAAATTGTAAACAACAATTTACGTCAATATTTACGTCCAAATTGGGGTCATGAGAAAAAATCAAGAACAGAGCCTAACCTTGAGGAACTCAACAACCAATCACAGCAGACTTAGCGTATGCAAATACGATTCGCAGACAGATGGATAACTGTGTGAGCAACGGTCACAAGCAGTACAGAATGACCTTCTGCAAGAAAACAACCAATCAGAAGACTGTGTTTCTCTGTTAACAATAACGCTAATAATAATGTACATAAAAATCAATAAATATGTGATGATTTTCTCAATAAACGATCTGTTGCCTGGTCCTAGTCTTCTGTTGTTACATTCATCCTTAACTGGAAACAGAAATTCAGATTTCTAGGATTCCTAGGAATTTTCACTGAATTCAATGAAGCTTCCACTCTAAACTAGGATGAAACAGATGTGGTCCAGTGGTCTATGAGTTTTTAAGACTCCTTAAATGACATTGTTTATTGACGAAATCCATAATGAAATGAATAAACATTCCTCCGAAACTCAATATGTGAGTGTAAAACGTGAACTTCTACATGGCTATTGGTTATTTGTAACGACAGAAGACAAGGGCCAGGCAGCACATTGTTTGTTGAGAAAAATCAACAGATTTTTATAGAATTTTATGTAATTTTTTATTGGCGTAATTGTTAGCGGGGAAGCAACGTATTCTGATTGGTTGTTTTCGTGCTAAAGGGTAATCAGTACTACTTGTGACCGTTTCTTAGAAAGTTAAGCCATATATCTGCGAATCGTATTTGCATACACTAAGTCTGCTGGGATTGGCTGGTGAGTTCCTCAAGGTCAAGCTTTGTAATTGTTTTTTCTGATTACCTCGATTTGGGACATAAACACTGACGTAAACTGTTGCCTACAATTTTGGCTTGCAGACAGCTGCCGCCACAATATTTTATGCTACCTTTACGCATGATGCCACCAGGTATCATTGATATTCAGAGACAATGGATTTCCTGGAAATATAGATTAATTTCAATGGAGATATCATTCCAAACTAGGACATGAGCAGCTGTCCAGTGCTCCATGGTTTCTAAAGATTCCTTGACCGAAAGTGGTCCATGAACAGAACTACATAAAAATTAATCGAAATTCCATTTAAACCCAAAATTCGGATAATTTTCTTCTGGTTTATTTAAATATACTACTTTATTTTATTAAAGTAGATAAACTTACTGATGAATAATAATTTTGTTCATCGCTTAATTCAGCATCTTTTGAAGATTTTAATATTTTCTGTTGTCTACTTTGTAAACTGTCAAGTTGTTTTTTACACCAGTTGGAAATACATGATAACATCTGCTGATCTGGCGTAATTGGTCTAAAGTCTGTTACATTGAATTCCAACTGCATATCGGTCCATACCTCAGCGACCTAGTTTAACAATAATTTAAGAATAATAATGTAGAAGATAGTTAAGATTATCTGTAAAAATAGGCAGAAATTTCAAGGAGGTCAGCACTTTTACTTGTGTGAAAATTCAGATATGATGGTGAAGATTTGTAGCTCAGGTAGGTGATTTTGATGTAGTTGTGTTCTCTGAGCTGCAATTTTACCCATTGAAAACAATACCAACACTAGCGAAACTTGAAACTCGAACTCTTATGTTCTATTTGGAACGCAAAGGATTGAAAAAGCAACAGTTGATGAAACCTTATCTTATAGATGATTTAGATTTTGTCTTCCTTTACTTCCAAGTCTTTCAGTCTACATAATGTCAGTTCAAGTGATTCTAGTTTTGGTTTGCAAGGATTGGATTTGATTGGTTACAGGATTTCATTATGAGCTGATATCGGTTAGAAAACCATTGAAAAACCAGATGGGAGTACTGGACAGCTAGCTATTTCGTCAACCCAGTTTTGGGCTCCTCATCAGTACGCATTCACCTCCAGGGTTTGAAACCAGGACCTTCTGGTTACAAGGTTAGCGATCTCGTAGACCATTGAGCCCCCGGAACCCTATCCCATGAATTCCTATTTGTGCCAATTCACGATAAAGAGCTACTGGAACCAACCAATGTCATCGCTGGTGAGTAATTGTCCTCACACCCAACCGACTATAACTTAATGGTCACGAATTATCAGTAGAAGTGATTCTATTGGTTTGTAGAAAACATCTGTCCTAATAGGTTTTAATAATCTATCACTACGATTTCTGAATGTTATCCAAAAACAAATGAAAGCCTGAAAACCAGCACTGGAGTACTGGGCAGCTGTTTCATCCTAGTTTAGGAATCATCGGAAGTACGCACCCACCACCAGGGTTTGAACCCAGGACCTTCCGGCTACAAAGCAAGCTCGTATACCATTAAGCTACTGGGACCCGATTCAATGGCCCATGAATTCTAACGGGAAGGTCCTGGGTTCGTACTGCTGATGATTCCCAAGCTAGGATGAAACAGCTGTCCAGTTCTCCATTACTGGTTTTCAACGGTGCTCTAAATGATATCAATCCGTGGTCAAATTCGTATAAGCAAATCTAATCCTTACAAACCAAATATAGAAAATGAAAGCTTCTTTATTTAACTATGCAGCTCAGGAAAAAGAAAAACAACCAAGATGAACACTTGGATGTATAGTAGGACGGAAAGGAAGTGTTCTCTACAAACTTATTGTCGGGAGAAAGATAGGCGAAGGCTATTAGTGAATCATCAGAGAAGTCAAACATCACACTAAATGTTTTAATGACTAGTTCCAATATTCCATAGCCAGAAACATAACATACACCCATTTGAAGATCACCTCTACACAAACAGTGATCAGAGTCTTTTCAAACGGATCCAAGAGAGGTCTATTACCATATTACGAGGGGTGACGAGAGGAATAGTCTAAAGCCAGTTCAAACAGGTCCATACCAGTTGAAAACATGTTTAGACCGGAAATAAACCACAATGGACTGAGGCATGACATTCACTACAATCTGATTGGACAATATCGAAAATCCGAAATGCAGCTAATATTATTGGTTACTGGTTAGCTTAACTTTCTGAGGTATAGTATAGTATTTCTATTTAAGGTACTTTTGATTTATAAAAGTGAATCATCCTCAGTGATACAGAACAGTCCGTCTTCTATCATTATTTTTATGGGATCTGGGGATCAGAAGGATGCTGTGTCTAGCGATGGCGAAACCATAAATCAGTAGGATTATTACGTCATCAGGGATATAACACCACAAAATCTATCTAATCAACTGATGTTGTTGAATCTACCCCAGATAGACTCGATTTAACAGACTTATTTGTGTACTGATTTAAAGTGAACGGAAGTCACAACAGAAATTTCAAATCTAGCAGTGTACTAACTAAGCAAATTACAAGACTAAGTTGCTTACAACTTTTCATAAGATAATCTCAAATTGCTGAATGATCAGTTAATTCAAAGGTCATTAATTCATTTAGATGAGAATATACAACAAAGGGCTTAATAAATGAACAGTCATGTACGCCAATCTATCCATATAAACAACTGGACGAAACTCTCATTGTCATTTGATTTGTGGAGGCTAGCACAAGGAATCCATAACGTGCGTTTCATCCCATTCAGGACTACTTCTCACCCGAACCTACATTCATCCCAGTACGTGATAGTGTTCTCAGTGAGACTGGAATCTGACGCCCATTGTTTCAAACGCAAAAGCATTCCCCATGAACCTACTGGTCCATCTACTATCTTACAGTGTACCATTTATTTCTTGCTGAAGTTACTTTGAAGCATGTTAAGATACCATATGCAGTATATCCTAAATAGGAGCCCATATGTCAGAAGATACAGGAAATTTAATTCAAGAGTGTAATCAATCAATTATAATTTATTTTCATTCCCTTGGGTTCCGAGTGAGACGTAGGGATCCAACAACATATCTCCACCTTGTTCTATTTTCTGCTTCCCTCTCCAGCTGGGTCCACACCTGCCCGTAATCTCTTATCTCCTAGTCTCAAGATCTTCTCCATGTCACCCTCGAATTGACGACGTACTCATCAATTCCCATCCGGATTCTACTCGAGTGATAGTGTGGCCTCCACAAAGTGTGCCCGATCCATCTACATTTTCTACTACATATTTGTTCAGTGATCGATTCTTGGTTGGCTTGTTCCCAGCCAGAGTTTCTTATTGCTAATTCTCTCTGACCGGTCGGCCATTTGATCTTTAGTATGGAGCCATTGAAGGTAGCTGTCAATAAAAATCAGCAGCAGCAACCTGTTGGAAATCCTTTTCGTGACTGACGCGCAGTGCAAGTTTCTGACCCGTCTAGACGGACTGACTGACTTCACATTTGTGCTGAAAATCCGAATCTTGTTCTTTATGCTGCCTGGCTGAGTGAGTGAGTGCAGAACATTTTGAAACTAGTTTCGGGTTGGTGAAAGTGTATCTTGCTTTTCTGATTCTGGCTGGCTGGCTTTGACACCTTCATCCGTGCAGACTGGCTGTGGTTAAAACCGTGCTTCCCCGATAAGTGAAGGAAGTAATCTCTTTCAAGTCTCTGCCGTTGATGGTGATTCAAAATAACTTCAATGAGTGAACACTCACCCTGCCCTAAAGTAGACTATTGAATTCAACCAACAATTAGCTGATTCCCGTGTTTCTTGCTAAGGTTATTTCAACTTCATTAAATTAATAAATTTTCCTGAATAAAACAAACAAGTGTTGTTTATTTATCAGCCTGTTAACTGATCAGTTGATGCGAGAGAAATTCTATTGAAACGTAGAAATATATACAACGATAACAACTGAAACGAACAAATACAAAAAGGCGGCCTGCTTAAATCTTGGGCTACCGAAAACCTCCATCAATATGTTACATATAATTTGTCTTAAACAATTTGTTTAAATCCAGTAAAGTATGACCTCTAATAGTATTGTTTACTCTGGAGAGTATTCAAGACATCTACAACTTGCTCATTCTCATGTGTTCTACTAAACATGAGAAAAAGCATTATCCTCGATAGCAGCTTATCCCACTTAATACATGAGATAACCGTTCCTGAGTGGTGTCTTTGGTTCACCAAAATGTACTCCTGAACTTTTTATAATTAGTATTCAACAAAATGTAGTGTATTTCACGAAGAAGACAGAGAAGAGATAACATAATGGATTGTTTTGTGCTCCAGGTCAGATAGAACTGTGTCACACTACCTACCAGCAAATAATCCTTTCTTTGAAGATCCTGGACGACAAGAAGAAATCATGCATTAAACTCCGTTGTAAATTCTGTAGATTATATAAACATCTAGACAAAGCAATAAGAAGACGTAATGTGTTTGAATCGTGTAATGCAATTGCGCAACGCACTTCAAACAATCTGATCATACACGGACTTGTCATTAATATATATGTATATATGTGCAATATGTTAGACTAGTTCATGGTGGTGTTAGTTCTGTCTAAATCCTATTGGTCAAGTTTGATTACAGCTGTACGACAATGCTGTATGCCAAGTTATCCACAACGGGAAACTTACGGAATCTTTCGAAGTGAGGACAGGAGTAGGACAAGGCTGCCTACCATCGCCAATGATTTTCCTGATTGCAGTAGACTGGATAATGCGACAAACAGCGGGCAATGAGGAAACACGCATAAAATGAACTCACACAATAAGTAACTTGGAGGATCTGGACTTCGCCGACGATATATGTTTGATTTCCCACGAACTGGAAGATATGCAAGCGAAAAGCAACAAGTTGGCAAAAGAAGCATCAAAGATAGGACTTCAGGTGGACATAGAGAAGACAAAGGTGATGAAGATTCCTAGGCAACACCACCACCACCAACAACAACAACAACTGACAACAATCAGCATAAATGGGAGGAACCTGAAAGAAACAACCTCCTTTACCTACCCGGAAGCATCGTTACAACTGCAGGCGGAAGTGACGAGGATATCAAAGCAAGACAAGCTTTCACTACTCTCAAGTCTGTGTGGAGGTCAACAACACTCACCATCAAAAATAAAATCCGGATTTTCAACTCCAATGTGAAGTCAGTGCTACTATACGGATCAGAGACTTGTACTGCGCGTCATAAAGAGAATCTCAAACAAACTACAAACCTTCATTAACAGTTGTCTTCGCTCAATACCACTCAAGATCAGATGGCTGGCCAGGAAAGATCAGCAACAGAGATCTCTGACAATGAGCGAACCAACTAGGGACCGATTGTGAAACAAATAGGCAGGAAGAAATGGAGGTGGATTGGTGGCCATACTCTGAGGAAACCATCAAGTGAGTGACATCACTAGACAAGCCATCGCTCGAGTGGAACCTGAAAGGGAAGTGGCGACTTGGTCGTCAGTGCAAGGGT